TATTAGAGTGAAAAAAATTAATTATTAAATTATATATAAAGTTACATGAAAAAATTTTACAAAAAAATTATCTTTTAATTATTTTTTTATAAAAAACGTGCATCAAGTTTTTCAAACTTAACCTCCCACATCAGCCCACATAACAAAAAGTCAACTTAATGACTGAAAAGGTACCAAAATTGAGCGTGTAAGAACTATTTAGATGCTTTTAAAAGTTTGAAGACAAATTAGCTAAAATATTTATAGTTCAGGGACTATATTTTGTTTTTTACCTTTCTATTTTTATAACAAGACAAATCCTTTTTATTTCATTTTAAGTTTAATTAGAGTTAAATGTGATTGATAATCTAATTCTTTAACTAATAATTTAATTTATGAATCAAGAGACCCACTAGAGTACTTTTTAGACCATGAATGGAATAGCAACAAGGATGCCATAAAAGTAAAGGACGGCACACCATTTAAATTTTCATATAAATTCCATAAAATATTTCAAATTAAAGAAAATAAATTTTTTTGACAAAAAGTTGGCTAAATCATTACTTAATTGGTGGAGGAGTATAGAAAAAAAATTAGAGATTTCATACAAAATTTGAGTTAATTTAATTTAGGTTTTTTTCTAACTTATATATTTAGGGTACAAGATAATGGTGTAATTAATCTATTTTTAGTTAGTAAATAGTATAGAGAATAAAAAAAGTGAGCATTAATGTTAACATTAATATCACGTATATTAGTTTAATTAGTTAGTTTTTAAAATTAAAGTTAAACTTTATTTTTTATGTAATTTAATGGTTAAAAGGTACATTAAATGCATCATTAACCTATGCCTTTAAAAAAGCCTTTTAATTTATTTAATTTTATTTTAAGTTTAATTAGAGTTAAACGTTTAAGGACCATTTTATTGTGTTTTAAAGTTTAAGAACCATTTTAGTCCAAAACTAAAAGTTTAAGGACTAAAATTGGTGACTTTAGTTTTTTAAAGTTTCAGACACTTTACCGTTACGGCATTACCCCATTCAGATATCACCCATCAAGTCTTAAGGACTATTTTATTGTTTTTGAAAGCTTATGAACCAATTTAGTCTAAAACTGAAAGTTTAAGGACCCAAATTCGTGATTTACAACTTTTGAAGTTTGGGACACTTTACCGTTACCTCACCCACATATTAACCCACCGAGTCACCGACTTCCTGTATATACTCTATTTGTCCAGTTTCTCGTCAATATTCAGCTGAGTTTACTTTTTACGGCGATATGGCGGAGCAGACAATCAATGGCGTTCCTCAGCCACCGCTTCTGCCTCCGGGCTACCGTTTCCACCCTACCAGTTCCGAGCTCTTCCGTCATTATCTCTATGACAAAGTCACCAAGGGTTCCTGCCAGTGGTGCATCGTCTCTGATACTGACATCCTTGCTGTGCCCCCATGGGATCTCCCAGGTTTCTCTACTTCCCTTTCCAGTTTCTTGATGTCTTTTCGTTATTTTCACGCACTTTCTGACATGGGTTCAAGGTTTCTTGGAGTTTCTTAACGTTCTTTCTTTTTCTTCTTTCGTTTTCTGTCATAGGTTTTTAGGTTTTTTCGAGTTTGTCGAATTCGTTTTTTCTTCTGGGAGTTTTCTTATGGGTTCAAGGTCTTCTCCAGTTTCTTGATGTCCCTTCGTTACTTTCGTGAGTTTTCTGACATGGGCTTAAAGGTTTTCCCGGGTTCCGTAACGAACTTGTGTAAAAGAAAATTTTTCTTGCATGCCCTAATTCCCCGATGCATGTTGAAAACATTGTATATGGTTCGATTTCAAGAGAACATGTAATATAACTTTAGGGTTAATTTCAATGATATGATCTTCTGCCGTAGTACATTATATATCTGAATATGTTTGATTATGATATCTTTTTTCGCCCCAGCTAGTATCTGAATTTCTTTGGTTAATTTTCTAACACTGAATTTTGGGTATTGCAGGAATGGACTCGAATGAAAAGGAGGGTTACTATTTTTATGCAAGGGAAAGGAAATCGAAATCTGCAGGTTCAAAGAGGAACAATAGGGTTATAAAGCTCAACAAGCAAGCTTTCTGGAAATTGAGTTTCTCTGATGATATTTGGGAAGAAGGGTTGCTGTGGGGAAAGAAGAACACTCTGAACTATTTCAGTGGGCCTAATGCGAAAACGGACTGGTTGATGTATGAATTTGTGTTGGATCCATCGCTTGCGAAAGGGAATGATGGTAATGTTGTCCTCTGTAAGGTGTACAAGAAGAAAGATTTAAAGGAGGAGAAACGGGGGCGAGATCCAGAGGGAAGCAACGTTAGGGGAAAGGGAAAGGGAAAAAGTTGTCCCGGCGGTTCTGAGAAAGGAGCGAAAATTGTGCCTTGTCTTGACGTTGATTCTGGACAACCTCTCAAGCGAAGAAGGATGAATTCTTGCTTTCCACAGTTGAACCAAAAGACTGAATTTGCAGACGGTGCATTGTCTTCAGCAACTCCTCTCAACATCCAGGAGACTCATCATTCAGAAGCTGCCATACAGCCATCTTTCTCAATTGAGCACTACCTTGAGGGCTTTCATCCAACAGAAGTCGCTGCATCAAGCACTACAAATCACGGTGTAGATACTGCACCAGTTAATGATGATCCTAAACTGTATTACCAGCCGCCCGCTGCATTTGGTTCAGCTAACCCCTACATTCAGGAGACTCATTCAGAAGCTGTTATACAGCCATCTCTCTCAACTGAGCCCTACATTGAGGGCATTCATTTATCAGAAGTTGCTGCATCAAGCACAACAAATCAGTGTGTAGATGCTGCACCGGTTGATGATCGTAAACTATATTACCAGCATCCTGCTACATTTGGTTCTGCTATGCCCTACAGTCAGGAGACTCACCCAGCAGATGCAGCACCATGCACGATCAATCAGTCTTCACCTACAGAACCATACACTATGGCTGCATCTTCATCGAGCAGTATTACACCAACTGATGATCGTAATGTGTATGACACAGAGCCTGAATGGGAACAGGAGATCCACCAGTACCTGAGTTTTGACCCAATCGATCAGTTGAATGACTGTGATGACTTTGACAAGGAGTATTTTGCCCCATTTTTCAATATGTAGCTAGCTTGCACCATGCCCAGTCATACAGATGCATATAGATGATTGCTCTTGAAGTATATATTGACGTACTATCCCCATGCAAACTTTTGACCTTGATGTGTTTATCAAAGTTAATTTCAATAGATTCATATCTTTGTTTTAGTTATTTGATCCATGATTTTTCCTAATTTCTATGTATTTAGATGCATATAAAGATCATTGTTTTTAGCATGTTGATGAGTTCTGCAGACGCAAGAAATTACTGTATATACATCTAACAATCAACTTCAACATTGTCATGCTAAAAATGTGAGTTAAAGTCATAATAGAACTGTATTTACAACTTACAATATCAGAGACAAAATAAATCATAAAGGAATCTACAATAAGTGGCTACGTAATAAATTAAATTTCGCCTACATCAATAAAGTGCCTAAAAAGGAAATAATGGTGAGCTACTAGTAGTTAATGACCTCTGCTGATCAACGTCTTTCTATTATCCGTTTGTTACTTTCATTACTATCATATGGTTCCACCAATTTAGTCTAAACCCATCCATCAAACAAATGACAGGAAAGTCAAATCAGATCTGAAACCGAAGAACTAGAATGAGCATCCCTAAATTCAGAAACTTTAATTACCTGAGCATTTTCGGTTTTGTGCTTTTGGATTTCATCTTGGGCACATATAAGCCTATACATATATATAGAAAACAAAGGTTATAACCAAGTTATCATTGTGTATGTACATATCTATAAATGCACAAGATGGAAATACCTCCACTGTAAGTCTGCAAGTTGGTTATTTCATGAATTAACTCCATTTCCCTATCATGAACTGCTTCAAGGTGCAGTTCAAAATCTTTTTAAAATAAATTTGATAACCAGTACTTATTGCAGTAAAAAGAACGAAAAGAAAACTACTGGACCAGGTGGTATGCGCCCCCCTTTTCATTTATCATTTGAAGTGATGGGAATGCTTGGTAGGGCCTTCTTATCAATTCCACTAGAAGGAAGTACAACAGAGATGGGAATCCTCCCCTTAATTTAGAACTTTTAAGACTGCTTTACCTGTTGAACTAGTCAGGTTTCTAGACCAATTAACATTCTAGCCAAAAGTATTACATAAACCCAACTTGAAAAACTCTAAAAATCTAAATTCTAGATAGAGGAATAGTAATTTATATGACATGTTGGGTCATCTTTGTATCTTGACACAGTGTCAAAGTTCATAACATGATTTCTAAAAACCACTAACAATTTATCAAGTTCATTGATGCTAAGGCATAAGCAATTGTAGTGTAAACCAGGCAACAAACATAGCCACAATATTATAACAGCAGACAATTCTTTTAGGGGAAAATAGGAAGAGATTCATAAACTATATGCAGAGTTAGGCAACTATTTCCAGGAATGTGTTGGCTGATTCTAATAGATGGTGAATCTGAAAGTTGAGTAGCTTGATAATTAGTTAGCAAACAGATAACAATCTAAGTACAACCACAGAGTGCTTAAATAGCAAAGATTTTTCTCCAAAAACAGTATTAGGTAGTGAACTTCCTCCCTTGATTGGGCAGTTGGCTGTGAAATGGAAAAAGAAGGTAAAATCAGCTAATTTGAAAATAGAAAAATACTAGAAAAATAGGAGAGCTTAGGATCTTTCTCAACCTGCATGATCAGCAACAGAGATTTGCTTCATTAGAGTTAGAATTGCCTCCTGTTGACAGAAATATGTCAGAAATCCATCAGTCATCAGTTACAATGTTTTTTTTTTCTTTTTGTATTAACCTTTCGGTATCCTGTAACCGAATTGGGTCCCAACTAATGCGAAATCGAGCTGTGTCGAACCCCATTAGGGGGAAACTCTCCCAGCACCTGTTTCTCCATTCACAAGATTCAAACTCGAGACCTTACTTAAGGGAAACCGAACTCCTTTCACTCGGACCAACAGGTCATTGGTATCAGTTACAATGTTAAAACACCAAAAATAAATGGCTAAACAATACCCTCTGAAGAGTATTTGTCTGCCAAATGGTTGGTGATATTGAAAAGAGAATGAAAAATAAACAGTTGTCTACCATTAGATAAACAATGATACAAGGATATGCACACATTCTTGTTTCTAGGGTATATGAAGTATGTATTTCCAAAAATTTAAGATCCTAGAATGATAAACAAGCAACCAAAAATTATTAATTTGGGCCACCATAAAGTGTTATTAATGTGCTGACCTCCCTAGCTACTGACCTGCATGCTGTGACTCTTCTGCAGTAAAGGCGAAGGGCCAACCTTTAAACAAAAGGTGAATGCATACCCAACATGAAAAAGAGAAGGTAAGCACATGTTCAACTTGAAAAAATAAGGAATATTCAGGATAGAATGATCTACTCACCCTTTCCAGGTCAACATTCTCAGATGTGACTTTAGAACGTCCTCTTTGCCGAACAACAGGAGGCTTTACCGTCTCATAATGTTCATTATTGTTCACAGCAATCACAGCAAAAAGTTGCATGATAAAGAAAATAATTAGCAGATTAGACATGCAAGCACTTGCCTGATAATTGAGATAATTTTGATGGGAGTTCAGGGACAACAAAAAATATAGTGAGGAATTTATTTTCTTTCTCTGTTTATCTTTCTACTTCGCCAATGACATGATGCCTATTAGTTTGAATGTCCAAACATACAAAATACAATCGTTCCTGAACACAACAGCATATGAATCACGACCTAAAAATTAACACCCTGTACCTCTATCATGTCACCTGGTGCAAAGTACATCAAAGGAAACGCAGCAAGTCAATTTTACATTAATCAGTGAACAAAACCTGCAAGCACTAGCTTTCCTCACTCATCCTGACTAATTTACCCTGCACCTCAGCAAATGCTTTCAAATACAACTCTAAAATTCAGTTTTCCCAGACATTTTCTAACAATCACAGCAGCAAATGAATACAGACACAATCTTAAATTTAAAATTTACCGTCATTTTCTAACAAGCACCTCAGCAATTAATTCAATGCAACATTATAAATCAAATTCTGTTAATATATCTATGTAAACCCCAAGTGGTTAAGCAAGATTGCAACAAACCTTTGGCTTCATGGCCCCAGCACTAGCGTATTACTACTCAGCCAACCAGTAGCTCTAAAAATTTATATTAATCATGTCATTTGCCCTCACGTCCGCCCAAATACATCATTTGGTTTAATGATGTGTGATGAAAATGTCACAAAGGAACCATAAAAGGCGACTAATATCTAAAATTTCTAAACTGTCTCAAGTTTAGAAAAACCAAAACAAGTGAATAAACAAATTTCTTGATTTTCTAAGGAAGAGTTGCGTTACATAAAAAAAGGTAGTAAAATTAGCAACAAATGAACAAGCAATATAAATTCAGCAGGCTAAGATCATTATAAAAAAATAATTCATCAAATCCCAGTGAAACAAAGTATTTCAGGACAGGTAATCAATCAACAAGAAGAGAAACAAACCACAACAATAAAGCAAGGCAGATTAGAATCGGAACATTACCGAACCAAAAATTAACAACAAAAACCCAGTTCGTCAGTTTCTGAAACTGCGAGCTCTTCTCACGCCGGAATTGAATTCTAGAGTTTTCAGGCTTCGCTTGTTTTGAACTTGCGAGCTCTTCCGAAACAGCCAACGATGGAGAAACAAAGGCAAAATGCTAACATGCATGAGTGAAAAAGAGGGAAACGTACTCAATTGGGCAAACTCAGAGAAGAAGAAGAAGAGGCAATATGGGGTTTAGCATGTCTGGAAGGGAGTTTTGGAGCCCAGTCGATTTTGGCGATAAAAACCAAGGGGTGATTGGTTCAGCGCGGGTTTGGAATAATAATTTAACATTGGCGATGTTTAACGCCTCACAATTTTCACTAACATTTTGTTAATTATAGTTTCTTTTTTTGGAAAATCATATGTTAATCTCCTAAACTAGTTTAGATTTGCTATTGAGCTCCTAGCATATAAGCCCCTAAACTCTATGATCTAAGTAATGTAGCCCTTAATTCTTTAACTATCATAAAAATAAGGGTTAAATTGCAATAAGAATAAGGATTAATGCTTAAATTATGAAATCCAGAGGCTTATACGTATCATTTAAAATTTGGAGGCTTAACAGTAAATTTAAGGTTGGTTTAGGGGCTTAAAATACAATTTTGCCTAATTATTTCTACTAAACTAGATTGTTATGAGGGATGGCGATGAAATTTTTCTCGTTTCGTCATCCGCAAGGAGCGAGTCAGAGGAATTTCTTATCACATCATTTTACATTATAAAATTAGTTTAATTATTTTTATTTTTTATTTTTAAATAATATTTTAAATAGTTAGGTTATTAAAAAATATATTTGGTCTGATTTAGCTTAAAATAATTTGATTTTAATATTAAATTAAAATTAAATAATAAATATATATTATTATGAGTAAAATATTTAAATTATATTAAATTTAATATTTTTTAATTTTTTAATATTTTACGTGGAATGAGATTCTAGCGGCATCCGCAGGGCAGGAAAAAGAACTGAGAAAGCCAACCTTGTAAAATAGAACCTATTAGTACCGCTGATAAAATATTACTAAAAATCATGCGGTGTTAACAAAAATGTCTTAAAAGGCTTGTCTGTTCTAGTCAACTATCCTGAGAAATGGTCGAAAAGTTGTGCACAGATAAGGGTGTGTTTGGTTTACTAATTCCCTCCCCCACCCCCAAAAAAAAAAAAAAGAAAAAAAGAAAAACGTAAGAAAGCCAAACTTATAAAATAGAGCCTAGTAGTATTGCCGAAGATATTGTCAGCCATGATTTTATTAAGGATACATATTTTAATTATAATTTTATTAATTTATATTTTTTAAAATAAATAATTATAATATTTAAAAATATTTAATTATAAATTAATTTTAATATATTAAACAATAAATATTAAATTATTAAATTTTTTGAATAGTCAAATTAGAACAAGTGATTCTAATAAATTTAAAGGTAGTCATAATTGTAGCCAATTAATACAAATAAATAAAATTTCTAACTAAAATCCCATTGAAACAATATAATTAAGTATATCGCCAACATAATTGATTATAATTGGACATTTGGACTTAATCGATTGTTGTTCCTTGTAAACAATACAAACAACTTTGGAGCTCAATGGATTTGGGGGAATTTAGAGGATTAGAACCAAGAGGTAATTGGTTTAACGCAGGTTTGGAAATATTTTAAATTTCGCTATAGTTATTTTAGCACATAATTTTGTTAATGTCATGAAGTTTTTATTGATAATTTGTTAATTTATAGTTTTTCCTTCTCTGGCAAGGTGAGCTTCAAGGAGTCATTGGTAAACTCCATCTAATATAAAAGAGCTAATGATATTCCAATAACTTTATTTTATAATTTTTTAATATAATTTTTAAATATTATTAAATAACTATATATAACATTATAAATTTTAATAAAATAAAAAAATATTAAATAAGATATAAAATTACAAAAATATTATATAAAATATTATCTCTTAGTAATTTTGCTATAAAAAAATGTACATTATGACTAGACCTAGTAATTTTTTGATTGACCTACTAACCCACCTATTTAAAATGGGTTAGGATCAGATATTCATGACTCATGATTTATTAATAACCCAATAAGAGAACCCGATAAGTAACAAGTTAATAATGGATTGACCCATCAGATCAATGGGCTTCACTCGTTTGCCTATTTAATAATTTAAAATTTTTTAATTTATTATTTATTTATTTTGTTTTTCAATTCCCATCCCACCTAAATCCCTAATAATTGACTAATTCTACCTAATTAGCTAATTCTCTCGACTCATCATCTTCTAGCAGCAAAACTAGTCCCACTCCACTCATAACTCACCTCACAACCTTTTCTATCCTTAGTTGCTCTAATACTCTCTAAGACTCTAACTCTTCAAAGTTTAAACTCTTCTCATATTCTCCGACCTCCATAGTCCATACAACCTTCGACTTTCAAGCTCTGACTCCACCTTTTCTCTTTAGTCTTTAACATTATCTTAGACTCAGATCTCAATCTCATCTAGTCATGATTGTATTGACTCCAGCCTCTCCTTTCTTTCTGCTTTGAGTCCAACAAGCCACAATACTCTTTTTGACACCAAATTTTCTCTTTAAAGCCTTCGAGGTAAGTTGTTTACTTGTTTGTGCTTTTTAGATTTCTCTCCATTCCAAGTAAAAATTCTTGGATTGTCATGAAAAGAAAGGTTCTGATTAAACTTAATCCAAGTGGGGTTCACTACTTCCATGTGATTCTATGGGTTGAAGTTGGTTGATTAGATTACTTCCTCCTAGCATACTTTCTTTTGTGAGATTGGTTGTTTCCTTCACTAAATAAAACTAGGGGTTGATTGAATAATTTGGTCTTAAATAGCCAATGAAAAACAAGGGATAGGGATCCAATAAACAAATTAACCATGGGTGGTTTTTGGCTGCATGTTCTTGTATTAACATCTTACATGATTGTTGCATGCTTGATTTTTGGTGGCCACAAGTAAAAAAGAAGAGAAGCAATAAAGATGCTCAATTTGAAAAGTTACCCGTAGTTGCACACTCAGAATCGGACTTAGACCCACTTATTGGTATATGCTTCTTATAAATTCTATTTTTATTTTTATTTTTATTTTTTAGTTTGTTATAAATTCCAATTGTGGATTTAAATTTTGAATAAAGTAGATGTTGATAAAGGCAAGGATAAGGAATATGCAAGCAATATTGGCTCTTGCTCTGTACCTATGAAGGAGGTTAAGGTTGAGATGCAACTAAAAGCTAAGGCACGAGCACCTATTGAATGTGCTTATACCCTGGTCATTTGGGAACATTTCATCCTTATTCTCTTAAGGAGGTATAAGGTTGGAGTAAGAAAAGGTAGATGCAAGTACTGTGGAAAAGAATACATCTACATAAGAACTCATGGCACTTTGAATAGGAGAAGACATGTTCTAAAATGTCCTTGTCTAGTGCAAAAAACTCCTCTTCAAAAGATGTTAAATAATTCTAGAAAATTGGTGAAAAAAATTATCAAGAGAATTTAAAGAGTTGTATGCTATGATTGTTGTTAAACATACATATCCTTTTACTTGGGTTGAGTATGAAGCTGTTAAGGAGTTAATGAAGTATTTGAATGTAGAAGTGAAAACAACTTGTAGGAATATTGTAAAGAATCATTGCTTGAAAATTTATTGGAGGGGGAAAGAGAGGATTAAGGAGAGATTGAAAAAGCTGTTTAGTAAAATATGTTTAACTTGCGACATGTGGACATTTGTAGTAACACAAGGATATCTATATCCAACTACACACTATGTTGAGGATGATTGGAATTTGCATAGTTTGATTTTGAATTTTTTGCATGTCTAACCCCCCTCCCCCATATTACTAGGAATTTGTATAAAATTGTGTATGACTTGCTTAAAGAGTGAGGCATTGAAGAGAAAATTTTTTCAACTACATTAGACAATGCAAGAACTAACGATAAGTTGCAAGAAATTTTGAAAAACCAACTTAATCTTGAGAAGCCACTGTTGTGTAGGGGGAAATGCTTCCATGTTAGATGTTTTGCTCATATTTTGAAGTTGATTGTGCAAGAAGACTCGAAATTGGTTGATAAAAGTGTTAGGCAGATTAAATAGGGATATAGTATATAATTGCTTCTAATGCTAGAATTTTGAATTTTAAATATTGTGCTAAATGTGAAAGTTGTGATTTGAGAAAAGGATTATTGTTGGATTCCCTTACTAAGTGGAATGCTGCACACACTATGCATAATAGGGCACTCTTATATAAAGAAGCTTTTATTACTTTTAAGTTAGATGGTGAGCATTTTAAATGTTCATTGGATGAAAATGAATGGACTTGAGTTCTTAGAATTTCTGAACTATTGATACCTTTTGTTGAAATCACTACTTTGTTTTCTGGATTTAAATATCCAACAACAAATTTGTACTTTAAATCTATATGAATGATTGAATGGTACTTGTTGGATTACATGAAAAGTGATGATGTATATTTATGGGAGATGGCAACTAGCATGTAAGATAAATTTGATAAATATTGAGATTCCTATAGTTTGATACTTGCTTTTGGTATTATTCTTGATTCTCGTTATAAGTTAGAATTTGAAATGTTGACTCAATGTACTCCTAGAAGGGGGGTGAATTGGAGTTCCAAAAATTCTGCCCTTTTTCAACCACAAAACCAAAGTTAAAGAGAGTAGAGAAGAAGAGCTTGCACAATGAATTTATAGAGGTTCGGTCCAACCACTTGGA